GTGTGTGTGTGTGTGTGTGTGTGTGTGTGTGTGTGTGTGTGTGTGTGAAAACAGTAGTAGCTTTGTGATGTCGGCTCGGGGCCTGTAGGCTCCTCTTTGGTCCGGTCTCAGTGGAGCGGAAGGATCCAGGCTGAGGTCCTCCTCGGCGGCTTGGCAGGTCCTCAAAGAGCCGCAGCCTTCAGCTGTGACACGTTTATAAAGCAAGAGCTGAAAGGAGCTCAGCAGAACCAACCTCATCATTTCTGCAGCCTTCAGGTCCAAGACGAAAAGGAGTCCGGCTTCAACACAACAAAACAAACAGCAACTTTGACTAACTCATCTTTCAACATGTAAATAAAAACTTCTTATTTCTCCTTCAGAAAGAAAACTTCAGAACCTGTAATGACAAAAGTCCTAGAACTTGAGTGAATGCTTATCGTCCGCCGCCCGTCACGCCACAGGTTTGGACCCGGTCGTGACTCTCAGCTCCACCTCAGCGTGTGTAAAATGAACATTTGGGTTTGTTGGGAAACAGAACAGTCTGGTTCTGAACAGACCCTGCTCTGTCCGCAGCTCTGGACTTGTTGCTTTGGACCGGTCCTGTCTGTGTGGCCATCACGTGACAGGAAGCAGACTTCAATCTGACCAGAGGTCAGTTTGTCTGAAAGAACATCCGGACTGGCGTCTTCCTGTGTCGGCCATATTGAATTGGACTGACTCCATGTACATCATTTTTGATTTTTAAAAAAATTATTATTCATAATCGTCCAATGGTTCAGAAGACATTTTATTAACAGATATGAACCTTACTAAAACACTAGCAAAACAATATCGCCCATCCTTTCAGTGACGGGAGATGAAAATATAAAACTCTGCAGACTCTGGTTCAGCTGCAGCTCAGAGGTTTCTGGACCGGGCTTCCTGGATGTATTTCATAAAAATATCTCTCCTTGGAGGCCAAGATGGGGTACAGGCAGGGCACTCGACCCAGGACCCCAAAACCCCATGCTCCATTCCCAGCAACCCCCACATGTCTTTGTGCCTCTGAGCAACACACCCAATCCCCAATTCCTCCCCCTGCGCCTACAGCTGTCCACTGCATCACCTGCTGCATCACCTGCTGCATCACCTACTGCATCACC